CAACGACTCTCGAGTACAAATATGTATATGCCTCACTCAGTTTCTTCGCAATATATAAGAAAGGTGCACTCAAATTGGTCATCAGTCAAGTCGATCATAGATTTGCCTATCGACTAACTTCTACTCTAAAATAATCAAATTTATAAAACAATGAATCAAGAGGTCTTTAAGGGTTGTAATGTAGGCTCTTTGGACAAGGTAGGAAACATATAGGCTAAGTGGCTCAAAATAAATCAACTCAACTCTGCACCCAACCATATCAACAAACACCTCCAGTTATCACCAACCGGCTCCTCTCACTAACTCCAAGACCAACATACATCCCAAGCATTTTTTCATCATTTTTTTTTTTGCGAAAACCATTTGGACGTCTTATCTAGGTTTAGCCTTCGGGTTTTCTGCCCGAGTCTCCTAGACCGGATTCCCGTACTCATGGCTCTTATCCACTACATTAGTGGATGTAGCGCTAGGAGTATAATCCATTTGGCTTTCCCATTTTTTTCTCTTTTTTTTTTCCTTTTTTTTTTATTTTATTATTTTTTTTTCAAAGCAGATAAACATATATACAATGCAATCAACTATCACCTCCAACATTCAACCCGCAACTCAATATCATCATCACGAGGCTAATCAATAAAATCGATCAAGGCTCAAAGGGGGTAACTAGCGACTGTTATTCACAAAAATGAAAAGGAAAAGGATAATACAAGAAATGCCTCAATCATATTCATGTTTCACAAATCTAATCGAGTTATTTCACAGCAGTCTCAAGGCAAAATCTACTTGACAAGATTCTGACCAATATCACACGAAAAACAATAAAGGCTCAAACCTCACAAGGTAAATATGTTTCTCAAAATAACCAAGCCAATTAATCAAAATGCATTACTCGATCACATCATCACAACTTCTCAAATTCAACCAACAGTTATCAACCAGTCTTACAATACACCATAATCCAAGTTCAGAAACAAATAGAACCCTAAAACTAGACTAGTCCACCACACAAAAGAAAGAAATAAAACAACCTAAAAAGAGAAACTAGACCCGGTCAATCAAATAGCCACATAAAACATGCAAAAACTCCCCCACACTTAAAATCAGACAATGTCCCCATTGTCGAATCTCGGCAAAGGGAAGTTGTACTACATAACCAACCGACTCAACAAAGAAGAGAAAATACAGAAAATAAAATAAAAATAAAAGAGAAAAGAAAAGAAAAAGCTGACCAACACAGTGACAAGTCACTG